CTTTCAAATTATTAGGACATGTAAACAGCTTAATCGGCGTTCCAGCTGTGTATTTGATCTGTACTCATGTGCCAGCACCGGGTAGCGCAAGCTTCCCTCTTATAAGCGACTGAAGTGAGTTCGGGAAAAACTGAAAGTATGCATCTTATACATTTTTCACATACAAACGTTATATGTCCGAACTCAGAATCAAATAGTCTTCGCAAAAATAATATGGTCACTATGGTAGAACGTTTATTTTGATTGCCGATTTTTCTGCATTTATCAAAAGGCCCATCAGTAGCATGATTTCAGATGTGTCCATGTAAACAGGATTGTTAGGTAAATCGTTATTCTGTCAAAGAATGTAAACAAACGATTATAATAACCTAACTATCCACAATAACCGCATTATTGTGTGCACGTAACCGTGCTCATTGATGCCAATTGTTAAATCCACTTCAATCAGTGTAGATGAAGGGGAGGAGACGGGTTAAAGAAGGAGTTTTAAGCCTTGATACAATTGAGACATGGATTGTGTATGTATGCCATTCAGAGGGTGAATGGGCAAGACAAAGTATTTAAGTGCCTTTGAACGGTGTATGGTAGGAGGTGCCAGGTGCACTGTTTTGTGTCAAGAACTGCAACGCTGCTGTGTTTTTCACACTCAACAGTTTTCTGTTTGCATCAAGAATGGTCCACCACCCAAAGGACATCCAGCCAACTTGACACAACCGTTTGAAGCACTGGAGTCAACATGGGCCAGCATCTGTCTTTCGTTTTATACACAGGTGTTCAGAGATGCGAATAGCTAATTAGCACAGGTACGCCTCTGTCTTCCGTCTGTTATTCGTAAACAAGCACTGTAACATGGAAGTATGGCTGGGTGGGAACCCTTACCCTAATAATGTGTAGTAATTTAAATTTTTTGAAAATTATGTTTCTCACTGATATGTTCTTTATGTTTACAAAACCGTACCGCAAGCGATGCTTTTTAGCGTTCAGAACAAGCGTTGGGGCTCTTAACAGAACTCCTCCGGCCAGAAGACACTTTCGTCAATAGGCGCTAAAGGTAGTTGGCGTCTAGTGTTGCACGATATACCGAAACATCTACTTTTTCACACACAAAAAAAAACAGTTTAGTTTTTATGTTATGTTCTGTACTTCTGTCAAATGTGTCTTGTAGCTTTGGCAAGTATGAGTTTTCTATCCCAGTTCGCTTCTCTCCCTTTAGGCTTTACAGATGCTCCCCACCCCTTAGTTGCAACTCTTCTAGTTTAGTGTACCCTGCGCGCACAACCCATGTGGAATTCCGGGTCTCTGGAAGCGTTTGGAACTGCCGATCTGTGGCCAAGAACGCAGAGTTCATTTCAGCCTATGCTGCCCTTCAGTCCCTTGACTTTTTGGCCCTGACGGAGACATGGATCACCCCAGAGAACACTGCTACTCAAGCTACTCTCTCTTCATCTGGCTACATTTTCTCTCATAGTCCAAGAGCATCTGGTCGTCGCGGTGGTGGCACAAGGCTACTCATTTCTCCTAACTGGAGATTTTCTCTTTGCTTCCTCTTTCACCTGTCCATCTGCTCATTTTAATTCCATGCTGTCACTGTCACTTGTCCACTCAAGCTTATCATTGTTGTCATCTCGCCCCCCAGGTGCCCTTGGAGAGTTCCTCAATGAGCTTGACACCTTGATAAGATCATTTCCTGACGATGGCTCTTCATACTTGGCAACTTCAACCTCCCGACGTCTGCCTTCGATTAATTTATTTACAGCTCTCTTTCCCCTCCTTGCCTCTTTTGACCTCACCCTTTCCCAATCCCCTCCAACTCACAAGGCAGGCAATACACTTCACCTCATCTTTACTAGATGCTGTTGGCCTACTAATCTCACTGCAACCCCCCTCAAGGTCTCTGATCAGTACTTTGTTTCCTTTTCTCTCTCCCTTTCCTCCAACCCGAGCCACTCGGCCCATACCCAGATGGTCATGCGCCGTCGCAATCTTCGCTCTCTCTCTCTCCCCCACTACTCTGTCCTCTTCTATCCTATCATCTCTTCCCACTGCTAAATCCTCCTCCCTCTGTCTCCTGATTCTGCCTCTTTGACCCTACTCTCCTCCCTTTCCGCATCCTATGACTCTCACTGTCCCCTTTCCTCCTGGCTTGCTCGTCCCTCCCCTACTGCTCCGTGGCTGAGTGACTCATTGCGATCTGATAGAACAGGACTGCAGGCAGCTGAGAAAAAATTGAGGAAAACTAAACTTCCGGAGGACCTATCATCCTTTCACTCCCTCCTCTCTACCTTCTCTTCCTCTGTATCTGCAGCTAAAGCCACATTCTATCACAAAAAAAATGTAAAGCTTCTGCCCCCTAACCCTAGGAAACTCTTTTCCACCTTCTCCTCCCTCCGTAATCCTCCACCCACTCCCTCCTCCCTCTCTGCGGACGACTTTGTCAACCACTTTGAAAAGAAGGTTGACGATATCTTCTCATTCACTCAGCCTATTGAGTCCACTGGTCCCACTCACACAGAACTACCCTACACCTTGAGCTCATTGTCCCCTCTCGTGAGGTCTGCCCGCTCGACCCCATCCCCTCCTCCCTTCTCCAGACCATCTCTGTAGACCTCCTTACTTCCCTCAACTCATCCCTGACCACTGGGTGCGTCCCCTCTGACTTCAAAATGGGCCGAGTCGCTCCCCTTCTCAAGAAGCCAACACTCAACTCATCTGACGTGAAAAAAAATTGACCTGTATCCCTTCTTTATTTTCTTTCCAAAACACTTGAGCGTGCTGTCTCTGATCAACCCTCTCGTTATCTCTCTCAGAACGATCCTAACCAGTCAGGCTTCAAAATGGGTCACTTAACCGTGACTGCTCTTCTCTGTGTCACGGAGGCTCTCCGCACTGTCAAAGCTGACTCTCTCTCCTCTATTCTCATCCTCCTAGATCTATCTGCTGCCTTCAACACGTGAACCATCAGATCCTCCTCTCCACCCTCTCAGGGCTGGGCATCTCAGGCTCTGCACACTCTTGGATTGCATCCTACCTGGCAGGCTGCTCCTACCAGGTGACGTGGAGAGAATCTGTGTCTGCTCTACGTACTCTCACTACTGGTGTCCCCCAGGGCTCGGTTCTAGGCACTCTTCTCTCAATACACGAAGTCCTCATGGTCTCTCCTATAATTGCTATGTGGATGACACTCAACTACTTTTCTCCTTCCCGTCTTCTGACACCCAGGTGGGGACACAGATCTCTGTGTGCCTGGCAGATATCTCAGCTTGGATGTCGGCCCACCACCTCAAGCTCTCCTGCGTTGTCTTGGCTGTGTGCTTTGGGTTGTTGTCCTGTTGGAAGGGGAACCTTCGCCCCGGTCTGAGGTCCTGAGCGCTCGGGAGCAGGTTTTCATCAAGGATCTCTCTGTAGTTTGCTCCGTTCATCTTTGCCTCTACCCTGACTAGTCTCCCAGTCCCTGCTTCTAAAAAACATCCCCACCGCATGATGATGCCACCACCATGCTTCACCATAGGGATGGTGCCAGGTTTCCTCCAGACGTGACACTTGGCATTCAGGCCAAAGAGTTCAATCTTGGTTTCATTAGACCAGAGAATCTTGTTTTTCATGGTCTGAGAGTCCTTTAGGTGCCTTTTGGCAAACTCCAAGCGGGCTGTTGTGCCTTTTTACTAAGGAGTGGCTTCCGTCTGGCCACGCTACTGTAAAGGCCTGCTTGGGGGAGTGCTGCAGAGATGTTTGTCCTTCTGGAAGGTTCTCCCACCTCCACAGAGGAACTCTGGAGGGCTGTCAGAGTGACCATCGGGTTCTTGGTCACATCCCTGACGAAGGCCATGCTCAGTTTGGCCGGGCAGCCAGCTCTAGGAAGAGTGTTGGTGGTTCCAAACTTCTTCCATTTAAGAATGATGGAGGCCACTGTGTTCTTGTGGACCTTCAATGCTGCAGACATCTTTTGATACCCTTCCCAAGATCTGTGCCTTGACACAATCCTGTCTCTGAGCTCTACGGACAATTCCTTTGACCTCATGGCTTGATTTTTGCTCTGACATGCACGGTCAATTGTGGGACCTTTTATATAGACAGGTGTGTGTGCCTTTCCAAATCATGTCCAATCAATTGAATTTACCACAGGTGGACTCCAATCAAGTTGTAGAAACATCTCAAGAATGATCAATGGAAACAGGATGCACCTGAGCTCAATTTCGAGTCTCATAGCAAAGGGTCTGAATACTTATGTAAATAAGGTATTTCTGTTTTTATTTGTAAGAAATTACAAAAAATTCATAACCTGTTTTCGCTTTGTCATTATTTGTTATTGTGTGTAGATCCATTTTAGAATAAGGCTAACGTAACAAAATGTGGAAAAGGCAAGGTGTCTGAATACTTTCCGAATGCACGGTATATATTTTTATATATTTTGTATTATATACATTTATATTGTTTTAAATATTTCTAAAAACCTGTTTTTGCTTTGTCGTTATTGGGTATTTTGTGTAGATTGAGGACAATTTTTTATTTAATCAATTTTAGAATAAGGCTGTAATGTAACAATGTGGAAAAAGTCAAAGGGTCTGAATACTTTCCGAATGCACTGTGTTTATAGCTTTGTAAGACTATAAATTACTAACCACCCAGCTTTGGACTAGTTTGGTCTATTTCCTTGCTTTTGAGAGGAGCAGGCTAGTAGATACCCATAGACTTCCAGAAATTGCGTTAAGTTAACGATATGCTACCTTCAACCTCCTTCAAACTGCACAAAGACATAAAAATGGTATCCATGAGTTGGTCTGACTCTGGTTAAGTAGGAAATTACCCAAAATATTCCTTTAAGTATCCCAATTTCACCCCTAATGTGTACATGTACTCTGTGACCCTCCAGGGATTCTCACACATTCTCAACTGGAGTGTGTTTTATTTAGCCTATTCTTTCTCTCTTCTCTCCTCTCGGTCTGTCCCTTCCGTCCTCTCTCCCTGTAGGTGTAGTGTGCCGTGCCCCAGCGGACTAGCCCATGTACTATGCTGCGGCTGCCCTCCGGCCCAGGCCTCCTGAGCTGCGGCAGCATCATCCCTCACTCCTCTGCCCGCGACACGCCCACCGCCCTGGTGTCCTCGCTCTTGCCCTCGCCGGCATGTACGCTACCCGCCTGCACAGCTCGGGAGGTGGGGGAGGAGGAGGGGGAAAGCCCGGGCGCCGGCCGGGCCTGGGGGGTGGAGGGCTGCTCATGCTGGAGAACCACCACCACCACATTGCTCATCCCCATCATCATCATCATCACCACCACCCTCTCCCCCCACCCCACCACCCCCACCATGTGCACCCTCCACCCCCCAGCAACCCGCCCTTCTACCCTGGCCCTCACCGGGGGCCCCCCAGTCACCACCACCAGCAGCACTACCACCCGCACCTGGCCCCCCCTCCTCCTCCGCCTCCCCCCATCCCCCCGTACGCCCACCTGCACCACCACGCCACTGTTGGCGCCACTGGCAACAAGAAGAAGACATGGAACTTCATCCACGAGAAGATGAGCTACGACACTTTCTTCACCATGAAGCGGCTGATTGAGCGCTCGCGGCGGGGCGACGAGGTGCTGCGCTGGGTGACGCAGAACCCAGGCAAGATCTCACACAACCACTACCCCATCGCCCTGCAGAAGATCGGCCAGCTACTACAGGCCGGGGCTGGAGGAGGGGGCGGAGGTGACTCAGAGGCAGCCCTGGTTCCCGGAACCGGTGGAGGAGCTGAGGACGAAGGCAGACAGATCCTGGAGCACCAGGACTTCCAGATGCTGTGCAACGCCATTGTGAGAGACTGTGTCAAGTTTGACAACTTCAGCATCGTCAACTGCCTGTATGCTGTGGCTGCACTAGGTGAGGCTATGTGGTCGCATGGAGGCAGCTCTGTTTTCCATAGTAACTTTTTGCAGTTGTTGATCGGCAGAGTTTGAAAGTAGTATTGCTAGTAAAGGTTAAGCATTGTTTTTATGCATTTGATATTATGAATGAGACTTGAACATTGGGAAATGGCAATTACTACTTTAAATGCTAATTACTACGTGTATTCACTTGTTTTTTTTATGGATATGAAAGGAATTCTTGTACATATAACAACCGTGAATGCAATATAAGTAAACCAAATAAACCCTGAACTTCCCGTCTCCTCCTCCTAGGCCTTCCCAGCGACTCGCAGGTGGTGCAGGTGCTGGAGGCGGAGTCACAGTCGCGGCTGGACCAGTTCAACCAGAAGGACGTGTCCATGGTGTTCAGCTCCAGCATGAAGCTGCACCCCAGCAGCCAGCACCCGCTCACCGAGGCCTGCCTGGCAGGCTTGGAGAAGAACCTGGAGCGGGAGCGCCACCCGCAGACCCTCTTTCTGCTACTCTCCTACTACCGGCTCAAGTTGCACTCGCTGGAACCCACCGACACAGCGACGGCTGGGAACGTCGCCAACGTACACCCCAACCCAGAGCAGCTTCTGGCCAACAGGTAGGTTTGGTATGATGGTTGATTACCAGTTTAGGGTAATATAGACAAATGTATACAACTTTACATGTTATATTGGGTTCTCTTGTTTGTAAGAGGTCCATTCATAATATATGACTAGCCATCCAAGTAGAGGCAATGCAGGGTTATGAAGTACAACTGGGTTGCTTTCGATAGGAAGTCAATGGAGACAATGTTTTCAAAAATACTATTAGTGATCTTACTGGACATGCCTTAGAGTTCCCGAGTGTCAGTTATTATTGTGATAAAAGCAGTTATCGCAATACTTGGTAATATCGCGATAATGGCTTTAATCGTGATACTTGATAAAATCGTGATAACCGCTTTTATCGCGATAATTGACGTTATCATGATACCAAATTCCACCATTTGTCGTTTTTGACTAGGTGATATACAGCTACGACCGAAAGTGACTTTTTCGCATTAGTTTAGGAGAATTTACGTGGCAGGTTAGGAGAATTAGGTTAAGGTTAGGAAAAGGGTTAGGGCTAGTTAAAATGCTCTCTTAACCAGCTACGAAAAGTCACTTCCGGTTGTAGCTATACTCCATTTAGTCACAACCACCATTGTTCCGCTCAACCTACAAACAGGAAGATCCTGCGACTGGTCAAGCACACACTGGCTAGCGTAAGTGGTGTGCGCGACCAGGAGATGGCGCTGCTGGATGAGATGCTGGCTGTGTGTGCACGCGAAGCTAGCAACAAGAGCCTAGAGCTCATCTTCAGCTCGCACCTCTTCTACCAGAACAGGCAAGAGAGGTTTGTGTGCAGCCTGGCTGGTGAGTTTTCCGTTCCTCCCTTCCCCTCCTCTGCCATTATCTGGCAGCTGTTTAATCTGCCGGTTTCTCCGTACTTCTATCATTTCCAAGATAACCGTCTGCTCTTTTCTCAATAGAGGAACTGCCTAAAAAAGTGGACAGCATAACCCCATTCACCATGGCCCTCATTGCCAAATACATTGCCCGCCACCGGCTCAGAGAGACTCGACTTCTTGACACCATCGCTGATTTTCTGGTCAAGAAGGGCGAATACCTGGACAGCAAGGTAAGGAGGCCCACTCATCTGTAGAAAATCTCTGTCATACATTTAAACCGCTGTTGAGCAACTCCGATGTTGCGACTATGGGCATATTGTATCTGTTTTCTATGAAAGGCTATTATTACACCTGAAATGTTAGTTATTTACTAATGATGGGGGTTTGAAATAATTTCACTATTCGAATAGTAACATACATTTTTGTCCGATATCCGGATATTCGAAATACATGTTTCTTTTTTAAACGTACGTTTTTAACCTGAGCACTGCTGCGTGACGGAGAGAGGCTGCCGCTGCAGATGGGCAAGTGTGTGCGGGAGCGAGCAGACGGAGAGAGAGAGAGAGAGAGAGTAGCCGCGGCAACTATAACCAAGACTAGCTAACTTGTAGCAGACACAATGTTATTTATCATCTCATATAACAGTTCCTGTCTTGACTGGAGTAGCCTAGAGAAGCTGAGCTATCTAGGCTAATTGAGGCCACATGCTGCGCTTTCTCCCCAACCCCATTCAGATAAAACAACAGCCTACCTGTTGGTTGCTCATTGTAGCCTACTCCTTCTCATTTCGCTAACTTTTAATACCGTAATTTTATTCCAGCTTGCATTGCAATAGTGAACTTTCACTCCACTTGCTACACATTGAGCCTCTTTAAAAAGGCTACCGGTCTTTTTATGGGGCGCACATCATAGAAACTACATTGAAAAGATAGTTGTTTTATTAAATTAATAATTTGTATGTTATTTGTGTGTGACAATGTCAGATGGATATTTAGGTATGCATGCAAAGCAATGCACTCTAGATTTCTTACATACTCATTATTATTGTGGGGCTTGCGAAACAAGAGTCCCCGCTTAAATCTTCTACATACTTCTTATTCTTCAGCATTCAACTCCTCTTACACCGTTTGAGCTAGAAATGCCGTTCCAACTTTAAACGTGTAGACTGGTCTGGATTGAGTTGCTTGTATTCAACTTTTTGATATCTTTTATACTTTTTAAAGTACTCAAGTTTTTGTCCTTCATTCACCTTCATGGGACTTTTTTCAACATTCTAAATCTCCCCATTTTGACATAACTTCCAACATTCCATTCACTGTAAATGCAACTATGCAACTTGACACAAATCTGCTACTTCGACCACTTCGCCAACAACTTAGACAACTTCTTAGACTACTTCTCTGCTTCTTAGACTACTTCTCTGCTTTTCAAATCTGTTTGTGGAACAAAAATATCTGATACGGTTCTAACGATATAGCAGTTTTAGTAACTGCATTAACACATATTTTACCAACTTTTTCCAAACAACCTCCGTTTTTGACCACTCCCCCAACAAGTCAGACAAAATGTAGAGCATATAAAAATCTTCCCCTACTTCTCTGCTTTTCAAATCTGAAAACGGATTAGGAATAGCTACTATATATAGATAGAGCTGCTTTAGTAACCCATCAACTGCTTTCTTTATAGATGCAGTAAGTCATATCAGAAGCTAGCAGATTCATTACTTACCAACAACAGCTGCAAATTTCAAGAGAACCACATCAAGTTTGAAGTTCACTTTCCTTGCTTTGCCCAACAACACTATCATAAATTTAGCAAATAAGTTTTGTGGGACAGAGTGCAGTATTTATTTAGCTTCATCGCACAAACGTTTGTTAGCATGTTCCTCACACTGGTTTTAGCCATGGAGTGAGCAGGCCTGTCAAGGCAACTGTTTGCCTAGAAACACATAACTCTGAGGGAGAAAACTCTTCATAGCTTGACAAATTCCCATGATTTGGGAATCTGTTTCAAAAATCGAACAGCTAGTACTAAGATTTCACTAGCTTCGTCCTCCTTCTCAAGAACATGCCCCATGCCCTAAATAACTGGCTATTTTGCCTGTCTGTAAAGAAAAGGGTGGGCAGGACGTTGATCCTGCTGCTCTGAATGGATAGAGCGAAGCTGTCTCCGTTCACTCGCTTCATATTTTACCCGTTCTGCTTCTCATCGCACTTTCAGTTTTCACACACAACTGTAGTTTAGACACTGACCACAACTACCGACCACAACCACACAACTACTGACCACAACTACAACTACTGACTACAACTACTGACCGCTAATGACCACGACTACTGACCACATACTACTCAACCACACAACTACTGACCACAACCACACAATTACTGACCACAACTACTAAATGACTTACCACTACTGACCACAACCACACTACTACTGACCACAACTACTGACCACTACCACACAACTACTGAACCACACAACTACTGACCACAACTGCTGAGCACAACCATACAACTATTGACCATAGCCCCACAACTACTGACCACAACCACACAACTACAGACCACAACTACTGACCACAACTGCTGAGCACAACCATACAACTACTGACCACAACAACACAACTACAGACCATAACTACTGACCACAACTACAGACCACAACCGCACAACTACATACCACAACTGCACAACTACGGACCACAACCACATAACTACTGACCACAACTACTGACTACAACTACTGACCGCTAATAATGACCATGACTACTGACTACAACTACAGACCACAACCACAGAACTACTGACCACAACCTCACAATTACTGACCACAACTACTAAATTACTGACCACTACTGACCACAACCACACTACTACTGACCACAACTACTGACCACTACCACACTACTGACCACAACTACTGAACCACACAACTACTGACCACAACTGCTGAGCACAACCATACAACTACTGACCATAGCCACACAACTACGGACCACAACCACACAACTACTGACCACAACTACTAAATTACTGACCACTACTGACCACAACCACACTACTACAGACCACAACTACTGACAACAACCACACAACTACTGACCACAACTGCTGACCACTACCACACAACTACTGACCACAAATACTGAACCACAATCACTGACCACAACTACTGAACAAAACCACACAACTGACTACTGACCACAATTATTGACCACAACCAAACAACTACTGACCACAGAACTACTGACAACAACAACAATACAACTACAGACTATAACTGCTGACCACAACTACTGACCACACAACTACTGACCATAACTACTGGCCAGTATTTTTTTTAAAATTTTTTTAGTAGGTAGATCAGTTTTAATATTGCAGATTGTAACTTCCATCAATGTAATTGTCTGCATCACTTCCAATCTCCCATGTTTTTTTTTCTCGCATATATATACAGTGGGGAGAATAAGTATTTGATACACTGCCGATTTTGCAGGTTTTCCTACTTACAAAGCATGTAGAGGTCTGTAATTTTTATCATATGTACACTTCAACTGTGAGAGACGGAATCTAAAACAAAAATCCAGAAAATCACATTGTATGATTTTTAAGTAATTCATTTGCTTTTTATTGCATGACATAAGTATTTGATACATCAGAAAAGCAGAACTTAATATTTGGTACAGAAACCTTTGTTTGCAATTACAGAGATCATACGTTTCCTGTAGGTCTTGACCAGGTTTGCACACACTGCAGCAGGGATTTTGGCCCACTCCTCCATACAGACCTTCTCCAGATCCTTTAGGTTTCGGGGCTGTCGCTGGGCAATACGGACTTTCAGCTCCCTCCAAATATTTTCTATTGGGTTCAGGTCTGGAGACTGGCTAGGCCACTCCAGGACCTTGAGATGCTTCTTACGGAGCCACTCCTTAGTTGCCCTGGCTGTGTGTTTCGGGTCGTTGTCATGCTGGAAGACCCAGCCACGACCCATCTTCAATGCTCTTACTGAGGGAAGGAGGTTGTTGGCCAAGATCTCGCGATCGGGGACGCAACTGCGCGCATCCTTATCCAATTACGCAGTGCATATTGAAGATATTGGAAGAACTTTTACCCGTTCTGCTTCTCATCGCACTTTCAGTTTTCACACACAACTGTAGTTTAGACACTGACCACAACCACACAACTACTGACCACAACCACACAACTACTGACCACAACTACAACAACTGACTACAACTACTGACCGCTAATGACCACAACTACTGACCACATACTACTCAACCACACAACTACTGACCACAACCACACAACTAAGTGTCTCGGGGAACAAAACATCAACATTTTGGGTCCATGGCCAGGAAACTCCCCAGACCTTAATCCCATTGAGAACTTGTGGTCGATCCTCAAGAGGCGGGTGGACAAACAAAAACCCACAAATGCTGACAAACTCCAAGCAACGATTGTGCAAGAATGGGCTGCCATCAGTCAGGATGTGGCCCAGAAGTTAATTGACAGCATGCCAAGGCGGATTGCAGAGGTCTTGAAAAAGAAGGGTCAACACTGCAGATATTGACTCTTTGCATAAACTTAATGTAATTGTCAATAAAAGCCTTTGACACTTATGGAATGCTTGTAATTATACTTCAGTGTATACCATAGTAACATCTGACAAAAATATCTCATAACACTGAGGCAGCAAACTTTGTGAAGACCAATACTTGTCATTCTCAAAACATTTGACCATGACTGTACAATGTATGAAATGGAAACAATTTATTTATATCCACACATTACAGATGGACTAATAATAATAATCTACTATCCCCCATAGTACAAAAGTTGACCTATTCTGTGCGAGAAATAAATATTCCAAACATAGTCTGGGACAGTTGTGGAATGCGATAGATCCCAAATTAATACATCCACTAGCATCAAAAACTTTTTTAAGCAATGAGGCTGACGCAACAGATCAGAACGTTTAGCTTAAAATGTGATAAACTATTAGGCTATTTCTTCACATTATAAGCACAGCAATGCGCACACGGCAGTAGGTCTTAAGCGCAAATGTTCCATTAGCGGGAAAACACCATCAAAAGTGACCACAAATGCAATTATGCATGTCATGCTTTTATTATAAAGGTGTATTTTTATGGTGAAAATGATCTTCCCCAAACTTCAAACTCACGCGCTGCTTATGTACTGTATGCCAGTTAGGCTCTACACCT